TGAAACCTGAAATTCCAATGTCGTAGCCAAAGATGAGACCGCTTGAGGCAGCCACAACGCAAGTCATGACGACCGCGGCTGTGATTTTAGCGTCTATGTTGGCTGTGCCGGAGACATCAAGAGCAATTCCGCCGATAGCCATTTTGCTCAGGCCTTACCAATGCATTTCTGTCTTTTTGTTGTAAAGCCAATAAACAAATTGAATACATTAAAGAAAGCTTTTAGGTCTAGTCTCTTGGTTAGTTGGGCGTGGTGACTTGATGGTGCAAATGTGCATCCACTTATCTCTTATTCAATGGCATAACCTATAAATGTAATTACCTAATGATAATTTACTTTCTTCAAGAAAACATTATAGGTCCTTATGATAAGGACGTTGAAGGACAGAAAAAGATCCATACGAAAGATAAGAATATGAAAATAAATTCCCACGCAAGACAAAGTATACATAGTGGTGGTTCGTCACGTGCTTCTCCATTTTGGTTAGAAGAATTGAAGAAGTAGTTGGAGCCTGCAATAATGCTTTTATTTCTACTTATTTGTCTAAAATAAGTGTGACGACCTTTTGGCCTTTCCTAATTAATAATTATTCTGAGATGTATATATAAATGTGTAACATCTGCTTTTGCATCATTTGTAGCATGTAATGGGGTATTAATATTCTCTCATTTCGAGGATATATGCTACTGCCAACATTGAGAACTTTGGGTTATACAACATGCAATGGTTTTTCCATTTCTACGATTGACTGTATATATATTTTTTTGTGCACAACTTTCATTCGTTTACGTTCATTGATTACGTAAACGATCCAAGCATAAAGATAGAGAAGAGTTATCAAAACTCTATGTGATGAATACAATAAAACTTGAACATATGAGAGATTAAAACATAATAATCTTCTTGATAGATTGACAACAAATTCATAAGTCTTTGAAGGCTCAAACCGAATAGTTTGTTGCCCCAAAAAAGAAGTCGAATGCGTCGATGAAACAATCACGGCAAAGCAGGAGTGTTGGAGATCGGTCACTTTAAATTGTGACGTTGAAAAACATCCTAAACCACAAATTCTCGTCGAGGTGTGAACCATTGCATTTTCTGGTCTCGTGAAAACCGCTCTACAAGATAACAATTGGGTGAAGGAGTTCAAAGTTATCTCAGATTTGAAATCGAAGAAAAACACTTCTTGAAAAGAATAGAAGTAGTGAAAATATTCTCTCCCCAAAAGAGAAAGATGAAAGTGATCACTCCCAACGAGAGAAAACAATGTTTTGAAAATCACACCGGACCGTCCGGACAAACATAAAAATTGGGTCATAATTGTGCTTTGATGGCCCAAAGTAGATGGTTTGCAAGATACACATCTTTTTTTTTACCAAATTACCTCCATTAAAGAAAAAGAACGTGAAAATTTAGAAAATAGCACGCTTTAAAATTGTTGAGGTGTTAATTTGAGAGTATATTTAAGACTCTCTATAACTTTTGTTTTATATTGTATGAATACAATAAATTATATACAAAGTGAAAAAGAACAACGGTGTTTAGTAATTTTTTCTTCTCAAAAATAATATTCTTCCCTTTCGTGGTTTGTTTTCTCCCCTTATAGCATTACTCTACATCAATGTCTCATTCATAACCACTAATTGGTGAATTAAGCACCAAACTGGTGAAATACTCGTAAAGTTATTGGATGAAGTCCCACCAAGTATTTGGATTCAGCGGTTGAAATCCCCGACTAGAGCTGCCCTTTGAAACGTTGCGTCCAAGAGGATTTTGGTAAAAAAAAAATGCTATATATCATACCAGTTTGAAACACACTATCTAAAAATAAAAACATGCTAGTTTTAATCATGATAGTAAGAAAAAGTAATTTAAAGTAAACACAAGAGAAAACGAAAATCGAGACATTATAAATGTCGGACCAATAATTTATAATCCTCAATGGCTACAATAGTATTTATAGACCTTAGTCTAAAAATATTAAAACTATAGTACCCAAACACCCAGTATACTAATGGTCTCTAAATATAAGCTTGCGCACACTAGACGATACTCCTCACACTCATCAGAAAGGAGGCATCAGTATGAGTAAAGAATTACTAAGTGTGGGATCATTCCCGTCCACTTCTACTAGCAATACTCTGATCACTTGATACACCATCTTCATGTTTCTCATATATTAAATCATCATCATTAATCTTTATCGCGGCATGATGACATGAATCTATTGAACTCTCTCCACGTGATTGGTTATCTGTGTCGTTTGATGTATCAGCATCACCTAAAATTGTGACAACATCATCATCATCATGAGATTTGATTGGCTTGGCCCGACCAATGCTTAAAGAATCCGACTTGTCGGATGATATTGTTGGCCTCATCTCGTTCTTAAACATTGCAGCGGATGCAAGCTCGTGTACGGATTTTGAGATTTTTTTGGTCAAGTTTACAATATCGATGAGCCCCGAGATTGTCGTCATCAATGAAATCAGTTGTAGAGGCTCAACATCTTTCAAAATGCCTGATTTGAGTAAATTAGACAGATCTTTGTAGGCCGATTGTGAGTTTGAGATATGGATATCAGAAGAAGACGGTTTTGTCATTTTCTTTAATGAAATCGACACTTCTTTCATTGATTTTCCTGATTCCAAACTCATCTTTCTTAATGGTTCTTCTACTTTCTTTTTAATGTCCATTGGGATCTAATAGAAAAAACAAGATATAGATAAAGGGTTAGAAGGAACACATTAATATATCTATGTATAACACCTATATATATAAACCAGGCTAGAACACATTATGTTTTTAGTTTGCATATTTAAATGTTAATAAATTTATAACATAGTAGTTGTATATTTCAAATACTCCATTATTTTAAATGCAATACCTAACAAAATTCATAGAAAAAACAATACCTGAAACTCTGAGTTGATGTAGATATTTAAGGCATCAATCCGGTAGGCACACTCCCGAAGCAATGCACCCACAACGAGATATTGTTTCCATGGATGCCTGAATCTAAATTGGCCATGACATGGTTCCCATTTTGCGAAATTAGCCTAAACAGAAATGAACAGTATATCAATACAAAATTCAATCCTAGTTGTTTCAAAAAACGTATAACTGTAAAAGTGAAGCAAGAAGGGAAAAGAGAGAGAGAGTGCCCACCAATGCTTCTTCATCACTTTTTGAGTCGAGAATACTTTTATATCGTTCAAAATTCCTTATCCTCATCCCCGCCTCTTTGATTTCCCCATCCTCTGTCGCTTCAAAATATTCGTTCCCAAAATCTGCCAATTTTCCATTTTTCAATACATACTCGAATATATATATTTGAGAGAATTTTCGTAAATACTATCCATTTCTATCAAAAATACCACAATATATTTAAGAAATCTTTCTAGACTTTTAAGAAAGCTTACTAAATCAGTTGTAGAAGTCTTGATATAAATTTAAGGCTTCCTAGAAAAAAGTGTTGATATTTTTGAAAAAACAAAAAAAAATAGCTTCCAATGGTACGTTGGATACATATAAACGAACCCAAACAAAAAAAAAAACCTTGAAGAAAGTTGGCGAGTGTGTCAACGTTGGAGGCAAGGAGAGAATGAAGATCTTGTCCAGCCCAGACGGGGCAGACAAAGATAGAAATAAGTATGCAACTGATTCCTCCGATCACAATTGTTGATAGTCTGCTTTGAGCCAAATCCAATACCTCTTCGTCTCTAAACCCCGACAACGATATAAGTGCGAATGTCAATATGAATATCAATACCCCATAATCGTATCTCGCCTTCACCCGCGGGAGGAACCTCGCGACCGTCGCAGCTGCATATATGTACATATATTACCGTTACTCGCTCTTTCTTC